AAACTCTAGAAAAAGAGGAAACATGGCAATTATGACATTTTCTCCAGTCCCATACAGGAGCAAGAGTCTCCTGATTCATTAACTAGATAATCTATTTAAAAAAAAAAAAAAAAAAGAGACAGGGTCTCACTCTGTCCCCAACGCTGGAGTGCAGTGGTGCTATCATGGCTCACTGCAGCCTCAACCTCCTGGGCTCAAGTGATCCTCCCATCTCAGCCTACCAAGTAGCTGGGACTACAGAAACATGTCACCACACCCAGCTAATTTTTAAAATTTTTGTAGAGACGAGGCCTCACTATGTTGCCCAGGCTGGTCTCAAACTCCTGGCCTCAAAGGATCCTTATGCCTCTGCTTCCCACAGCACTGGGATTATAGGCGTGCGCCACCGCACCCAACCAACAAAACAATCTTTTTTTTTTCTTCCTGAGACAGAGTTTCACCCTTGTTGCCCAGGCTGAAATGCAATAGCGTGACTTCAGCTCACTGCAGCCTCCACCTCCTGGGTTCAAGCAATTCTCCTGCTTCAGCGTCACAAGTAGCTGGGATTACAGGCACGTGCCACTACACCCAGCTAATTTTGTATTTTTAGTAGAGAGAGGGTTTCACCAAATTGGCCAGGATGATCTCAATCTCCTGACCTCATGATCCACCTGCCTCGGACTCCCAAAGTGCTAGGATTACAGGCGTGAGCCACCACGTCTGGCCTGACAATCTTATCTGGTTATGAGGCAGATACAAAAGTATCTTCATGAAGTGAGGGGACATGTAATTTCTTTACCCTTGTTCTACATACACCAAGCAACGCTAGATCCTAAATTTCCCTGGTAGATTTTTCTTTTGAGATGGTCATCTTGTGACCATCTGTCAAAGTTAACAGTGACAATTCTCATTAAAAACTAGCACCTTTATTTTCAAGAATAAGTGTAAGTTTGAACAGCAAAAGCCGCTTTCTAGAGACTGGTCACTACCAAATGAACTGATCATGGTGTTCCAGACAAAGAGAACTGGAAAAATCTGGCAAAGAACAGGAATCAAGAGGTTCAGGTGTCAGCCTTCTTATCTACAGCTCTAGAAGTATGTGCATAAAGTTTTACCAAAACCACAGTCTGATTATTTAATGAAGCAATAAAGCAAGCTTTTCCAAAAATTACCCTATGAATTATAATACCAGTTACATTTTCTTATGGAGCAGGATATTTCTGAAATTGGCAAAATATTTTTTTCTGCTGATCTTCACCAAATGTCATACTGCATTTCTTAGACTAAAGGAGGGGGTGGGTGAGCTAATTTTGCAGTATTCTATAACAATACAACAGAAGTTTAGAGCAGAGCAAGCTTAGAGTGGGTCTAGATCCAGGAAGTAACCCACTGGGTTATGTCCAGTCACTTTAGTTGTAATTTAGAATATTTTCAATCAAGACAACTTCAACCTCTGGGCATTCCCAATTATGTTAGTTCCTGGAACGGGTTCATTCTGTTCTGAATCTTTGAGAACAAGAGAAGGCTTGGAGCCAAAAGATAGTAGTGGAAGGGTTAAGAAGTCAATGACTTGATGAATTGGTTGATGGATCTAATTGCCTGATTGACTAAACCTTAAAAGAACCAAATAATTTGGGTGGGATTGTGGACATTTTTTATTTTCTTTTTAATCTATTTTGTACATACTAGTTTTCAAACAATGAGAAATCTAATTACAGCCGAGTGCAGTGGCTGACACCTGTAATCCAGCACCTTGAGAGGCCAAGCAAGGTGGGCAGATTGCTGAAGCCCAAGAGTGCAAGACCAGCCTGAGCAACATGATCAAATGCCTCCTCTACAGGAAAAAATTCAAAAACTAGCTGGGCATGATAGCACGCACCTATAGTCCCAGCTATTCAGGAGGCTGAGGTGAAATAATCACCCGATCCTGGGGAGTTGAAGGCTGCAGTGAGCCATGATCATGCCACTGCACTCCAGCCTGGGTGACAGAGTGAGACCTTGTCTCAAAAAAAAAAAAAAAAAAAAAACCCTACATTCTTTCTTAAAAGAATCAAGAAAGTGAAGGGACTAGAAGAAAACACTAATTATAACATTGGAAGACTTCCCTTGACTTCTCATGTTTAATCCTCGTGCTAATTTGGATTTGCAGCTCACATTCCATCTTCTGTTTCTCTCCCAACCTTTTCCTCTGTAATCCTCTGTTGACAATTCAAGATTTCCAAACTGCTGACTTAAAGCTCCTTGGACTTGCCAGTGGGGCATCCATCATCATCAAGTATTCTTTATTTATTACATTCATGCTAATGGACCCTATCAAAATACCTTGTTCATATTTTTTATAGTGCCTCACAGTTTACGAAAAGTCTTCTATATCCTATTTTATTTTAGATCCATTTGCCAATGCTGTGTGGTCACAGATGAAGAAACTGAGGCTAAGAGAGGTGAAATGGGTTGCGTAACTGATGCTGTTCAAAAGTATCAGAATCAGCCGGGCGTGGTGGAGCACGCCTGTAATCCCAGCATTTTGGGAGGCCGAGGCAGGCAGATCACGAGGTCAAGAGATCGAGACCATCCTGACCAACATGATGAAACCCCGTCTCTACTAAAATATACAAAAATTAGCTGGGCATGGTGGCATGCGCCTGTAGTCCGCAGCTACTCGGGAGGCTGAGGCAGGAGAATTGCTTGAACCCAGGAGGCGGAGGTTACAGTGAGCCGAGATTGTGCCACTGCACTGCAGCCTCCTGGCGCCTGGAGACAGAGAAAGACTCTGTCTCCAAAAAAAAAAAAAAAAAAAAAAAAAAAAAAAAGTGTCAGAATCAAGTGCAAAATACAAACCTACTGGCACTAAGTAGAGTGCTTTTGCTAACCATGTTCCCTCCTACATGACTCTGTTAAAATAAATTCCAAATACAGGATGCATCCAAAAGTTGATGAAAATGAATGAAGCAGCCAGGCATGGTGGCTCACGCCTGTAATCCCAGCCCTTTGGGAGGCTGAAGTGGGTGGATCACCTGAGGTCAGGAGTTCGAGACCACCCTGGCCAACATGGTAAAACCCCATCTCTACTAGAAATACAAAATTTTCCAGGCATGGTGGCACATGCCTGTAATCCCAACTACTTGGGAGGCTGAGGCAGGAGAATCACTTGAACCCAGGAGATGGAGGTTGCAGTGAGCTGAGATCACACTATTGCACTCCAGCCTGGGCAACAAAAGTGAAACTCCATCTCAAAGAAAAAGAAAATGAATGAAGCTACAAAAACACAGACTAGATTTCCACAGCTGTAAAAATAGAGGCTAATGCCATTTTTCTCTATAAATACCCAACCTTTTCTCTGATCATTGAATATTACTCAAGTATTATATTTTCCATATATATATTTATTTATTTATTTATTTTTTTTTTTGAGAAGGAGTTTCACTCTTGTGACTCAGGCTGGAGTGCAATGGCGCGATCACCGTAACCTCCGCCTCCTGGGTTCAAGCAATTCTCCTGCCTCAGCCTCCCGAGTAGCTGGGACTACAGGCGTGCGCCACCAAGCCCAGCTAATTTTTGTATTTTTAGTAGAGACAGGGTTTCACCATGTTTACCAGGATGATCTCAATCTCTTGACCTCGTGATCCACCGGCCTTGGCCTCCCAAAGCGCTGGGATTATAGGCGTGAGCCACCACACCTGGCCTCCATATATTTTATAATAGATAACATACTGCATAATAACTACAGATTCAGTTATTAGAGAATTATATCTATTTTACATTTAACTTGGAATTTTGCATGCAAAAATATCCAAACACACTCCAATCATATTGTCCACGCTACTGACATATACGACTCCTGTAATACATGGCAACTGTAAACCATCATATCATCCCATAGCCAATAAGATAAAAGCTACCAATATCAAATCCTATAGAAAATGAGAGTTATGCAGAAAATCCAATGAATGCTAGTTAAAGAGGCCAACGTTCAATGCCTTAAAACATTAACATGAGGAGGGGGTGGGGAAATTAAAAAAAAAAAAAAACATTAACACACACACTCACATGCAAAAACAGAAAAGTGTGGGGCAGGAGCAAACAGCTGCTTTAGGTATTTGAAGGTAACTTCACCTACAGGCTGAACAGAGCACACCTGGTAAACCGCAGCCTTGTCTATGGGAGCTCATCTATCTCAGAAACAATAATGAAATCAGAGGTCATACCTGTGTCTTTTTTCAAGAGAAGCCTTTGCAGTGGCACACTACTTAAAGAGTTTTACCTAGAGACTGTAATGTGTGGGAATTTTCCTTGCCTGCTTAGTGGAAATAGTCCAAACCTGGAAGGCAACTTCAATAACCCACACTGACTTTTTTTTTTTTTTTTTTTTGAGACAGGGTCGGGTCTCACTCTTTCGCCCAAATTGGAACACAGTTGCACAATCAGGATCCACTGCAGCCTCAACCTCCTGGGCTCAAGTAGCTGGGACTACAGGTGTGCGTACACCACCATGCCCAGCTAAGTTTTTGTATTTTTAATAGAGACAGGGTTTCGTCATGTTGCCCACGCTGGCCTGGAACTCCCGGACTCAAGTGATCTGCCTGCCTCAGCCTCCCAAACACAATGACTCTTATTACCATCTCCTTAATGGTCCTCAATTCAATTCAGCACTTTTTTTAGATCCTAATACTTTGTCAGGCTATGGGAACACAGAGAAATGGAGCCTCGTCCTCATGAAATTCACAATGCAGCAGTGAAGAACAGTAAAGCAACAATTCCACATGTGAGGGTGAACAGACAGATGTGCAAGGTAGGATGAGATCTAACCAAATCTGGGATTCATGGAAGGCCTTACTCATGAAGTGATATTTCATCTTGACTTGAAGAATAAAGACGAGTTGTTTGGGTCAGAGAAGGGCCATAGGAACTGTCATCCTAGCAAATGGGACAGCATTGTAAATTCTCCGGCATGAATGGAGCCTGAAGATGTAGCTCATCCAAAGGAATCGGTAGTTTTTTACTCTGTGGTATAACTTGGTCAGTAGCAATTCTTGGTTGATTATTTCAAATACTGAGTATGGAGTATGTGCAAAAGATTGTGGGTGAAAGAGTTGAGTAAACGTTTCTTTGACATTTTATGAATTATCACTTATACTTTTTTTCTTTTTTGTTTTCCTGCTGTTCATGAGCTGTAGAAAGCTGTAGAATTATTGCTTACAGTTTCACCGACATCCAGGTGTTCTTTTTTTTTTTAAAGATGGGGTTTCACCGTGTTGTTCAGGCTGGTCTTGAACTCCCGACCTCAGGTGATCCACCCGCCTTGGCCTCCAAAGTGCTTGGATTACAGGTGTGAGCCACTACGCCCGGCCCAGGTGTTCTTATTTCTTTGTGCTCTAAAGCTTTTTTTTTTTCTGTAGGGGGGCACCATATCTAGGTTTTACCACTAAATGTGGGAGGAAGAATACTGGCCCTCTAAAGTATCCACACTCTCTCCCTCACCCCTGAACCTGTGAATAGGTTACCGTACAGGGCAAAAGGGACTTTGCAGATGTGGATTAACTAGGTAGTCCCAATTTAATCACATGAGACTTTAAAAGGGAGAACCTTTCCCAGCTGTAGTCAGAGGGAGCTATAACTCCAGAAAGATCAGACAGATGCAATGTTGCTGGCTTTGAAGTCACAAACCAAAGAAGGCAGGTGGCTTCCAGAAGCTGGAAAAGTCAAGGAATTGATTCTCCCCTAGAACCTCCAGAAAAGAATGCAACACCTGCAACACTTTGATTTTTAGCCCAGGAAGACCGGTGTTGGCCTTTTGACCTACAGAAAGGTAAGATAATAAATTGGTGTTGTTTTAAGCCACTAAATTGGTGGTAATTTATTATGACAGCAATAGAAAACTAATATACTAAGTCAACAATGCATGTGATACTTTAAAACACTTGAATCATAATGCTATAACTATTTACATTTATCTCAGTGAATTTCCTTAGTAACAAAATAATCACATCGAATAAACAGCCTATTAAAAAACTGCAGGCAAAGCTAATCAGGAGCCACTCTGGATTAAAACACTTTCATCATTTGCCAGGGAGAAAATAAAACCATGCCATCAAGCCAGAAACTTCTCAACTAGTTCCATACAAACCAACAAAAATTGAAAGTATAAATCTAGTGAATTCTTCTTATACATTATGTCCCATGTGACTCTCAGTGAAGAATAGAGGGGACACATTAGTACTCTCCCACCCCCTACATAATAAAAGACAGGGAAGTACTGGCCACTGACTGAGCTCTTACATATATTAATATACTGCATGTTCGTACAACACTATACATGTATCATTTTGCCAGCATTTAAGTCTTTTAAACACACATGAGTGTATGTGTGTATAAGTCCTTTATACACACATAGTCTCACAATATCTAGTAAAAATAGTAATGGTAATACGAATTATGACATCTAACAATTGAGTGTATACTACACAACCAAGCACTGTTCTAACAATTTCATAGTCCTAATTTATTTAATCCTCCCAACAATCCTATGAGATAGATACCATTATTACTGCTATTTATAGATACAGAAATGGAGGCACAGAGATGTTAAGTAACTTGCCTAATATCACACAGCTAGCAAATGGCAGAACCTGGAGAACAACCCAAGCAGTGTGGCTCCAGAGGCTGAGCTCATAACCACTGTTACATTGCAAGTACACTACTTGCATTTATTAGGGCTTCATAAAGCTTTCTTATATCAACAAAAGCGAGGTGGCTTAATAAAAATGTGTGTGGTGCCATACTAAGTGTTTATATATGATGTTTATTTTCTTTTCTTTTGAGATGAAGTTTTGCTTTTGTCACCCAGATTGGAGTGCAATGGCAGGATCTCAGTTCACTGCAACCTCCACCCCCCGGGTTCAAGCGATTCTCCTGCCTCAGCCTCCCAAGTAGCTGGGAATGCAGGCGCCCACCACCACACCTGGCTAATTTTTGTATTTTTAGTAGAGATGGGGTTTCACCATGTTGGCCAAGTTGGTCTTGAACTCCTGACCTCATGTGATCTCCTCACCTCAGCCTCCCAAAGTGCTGGGATAACAGGCATGAGCCACTGCGCCCAGCCCTTTTCTTTTTTTTTTTTTTTTTTTTGGATACAGAGTCTCACTCTGTTCCTCAGTCTGGAGAGCAGTGATGCTATCTCAGCTCACTGCCACCTCTGCCTCCCGGGTTCAAACGATTCTCCTGCCTCAGCCTCCCAAGTAGTTGGGACTACAGAAGTGTACCACCATGCCTGGCTAATTTTTGTATTTTTAGTAGAGACAGTGTTTCACCATGTTGACCAAGTTGGTCTCAAACTCCTGACCTCAGGTGATCCTCCCACCTTGGCCTCCCAAAGTGCTGGGATTACAGGCATGAGCAACCACATCTGGCTGATATGTTTCTCTTAAACATCACAAAAACTCTTGTGAGATAGAGATTATTAGTACAATTATACTGTTGAAAAACAGTTATAACAGTGTTAGCTGTTCGGTGAAATAGCTTGCCCAAGATCATTAGTAAGACTACATTTTTCCCATTCCATACACTACTTCCCTGATAACAAAAATAAAATATACAATATGTAATATTGATGATTATTATTCCATACAGGGAGATCGATTGGTACAAATTACTCTGCCTCTGGCTGGACATGGTGGCTCACTTCTGTAATCCCAGCGCTTTAGGAGGCCATGATGTGGGGATCAGTAGAGGTCAGGAGTTTGAGACAAATCTGGCCAACATGGTGAAACCCTGACTCTACTACAAATACAAAACTTAGCTGGGCATCATGACACAGGCCTGTAATCCCAGCTACTCGAGAGGCTGAGGTGGAAGGATTGCTTGAACCCGGGAGGTGGAGGTTACAGTGAGCCGAGGTCACACCACCGCACTCTAGGCTGGAAAACAGGGCAAGATACTGTCTCAAAAAAAAAAAGAAGGCCGGGCGCGGTGGCTCACGCCTGTAATCCCAGCACTTTGGGAGGCCGAGGCGGGTGGATCACGAGGTCAAGAGATCGAGACCATCCTGGTTAACACGGTGAAACCCCGTCTCTACTAAAACTACAAAAAATTAGCTGGGCATGGTGGCGCGTGCCTGTAATCCCAGCTACTCAGGAGGCTGAGGCAGGAGAATTGCCTGAACCCAGGAGGCGGAGGTTGCGGTGAGCCGAGATTGCGCCATTGCACTCCAGCCTGGGTAACAACAGCGAAACTCCGCCTCAAAAAAAAAAAAAAAAAAGAAAAAAGAAAAAACAAGAAAACAAATTACCCTGCCTCTCTAACAATGGGCACTGATTAGCCAAATCTATGTGGTTATATGTTCTACAATTATTTTAACAGGAGTATTCTGATAAAAATAAAGGAAAATATAAAATCCATTTATGATATCCTTCTCTTTGTCTTCTGGCTTTGATTGGCTGCAATGAGAAAGCATGAAACACGTTTTCTTTTTTTTTTTTTTCCATGAGACGGAGTTTCACTCTTGTATCCCAGACTGGAATGCAATGGCGTGATCTCGGCTCATTGCAACCTCCGCCTCCCGGGTTCAAGCCATTCTCCTGCTTCAGCCTTCTGAGTAGCTGACATTACAGGCATGCACCACCAAGCCCGGCTAATTTTATATTTTTAGTAGAGATGGGGTTTCTCCATGTTGGTTACGCTGGTCTTGAACTCCCAACCTCAGGTGATCCGCCTGCCTCAGCCTTCCAAAGTGCTGGGATTACAAGCATGAGCCACCGCACCCGGCCTGAAACACATTTTCAAATGACTATTCTCTTTGGATATGAGTCAGAGGAACTTAAGCGTATTGCCTAGATTAGGAGGAAGGGGGCAAAATGGAGAGGGCAGCATTCAACTGTAGGCAATGTATGGAGTATGTGGCCTCTGCCTCCAGGATCCTCCCTCCCCACAACTCTTCTGTGAGAAAAATTCTAAGAGGAGCACCAACATGGACATTCCCCAAAAGACACACAGGCGCTCCAGCGGGGCTGAAAAGGTGGGTGCCAGGGTGGGAGGCAGATAGGATCAGGAAGCATGGGATTAGCATTGTTGGGTAATAAACATGCTGCTGTTTCACAAGTCTGGATTGCAAGAGAGTACATCCCTGAGACGAACATACAACCCTCCCTCTGCCCATCCCAATCTGGCACAGGAACCGAGCACAAACAAATCCTGTTCTCAACAGGCAGCCAAGAAGCCACAGAAAATGTTCAGTTCTTAACATGGCCTGCCCATTGAGGTGGAACAGAAGGTTTTGAAGGATGATTCCCTTTAACTATTGTAAAAACTAAATTTCCCTGGTTGCAGATTATCAAAACAAAAATCACTTTCAACACGTGAGAGGTTTGTTCATTTTTTGCTTTGTGTGATCTAAATTGTCAAATGCAGATCCTCAGATGAAGATAATCAACTGGCATCAGCCGGAAGAACGAAGCCAACAGCAAACGCAGTGCACAAAGGCTCACAGAGAATCCTGCTGTGGTTTGGACTCCTGGCTCCTGCTGCTTCTCTGGTCTCTCTGTGGTTTGGCAGTGTAACCCTCCACGATTCTGTAAAGTAATAAATTCTCTTTTTTTTCCTATGCCAGTGGTGAGGTGGGTACCACCAGTACCTCTAACAACTGACCCAATACACTCATCACACACCCATCAGGCACCTGAAGAAAACAGGAGCCTGTGACTAATCTACAAAGCTCCTGAGGGCTCATGCCTGTAATCCCAGCACTTTGAGAGGCCAAAGCAGGCTGATCATGAGGTCAGGAGTTTGAGACCAGCCTGACCAACATGGTGAAACCCCATCTCTATTAAAAATACAAAAATTAGCCAGGCGTGGTGGCAGGTGCCTGTAATCCCAGCTACTCAGGAGGTTGAGACAGGAGAATCGCTTGAACCTAGGAGGCAGAGGTTGCAGTGAGCTGAGATCGCACCGCTGCATTCCAGCCTGGGTGACAGAGTGAAACTGTCTCAAATAAAGAAAGCAAGCTCCTGGAGACCTGGCCCAGTGAGGGAAGCGGAGGCGGAGGGGAGATTTCCTATGAGTCATGCTATCCTTTCCAGCCTTTCAACACCCCACACGCCCCAAACCAGAAAAACTGTCATGCTCCTCCCTTAAACCAGCTTCAACTTCTCCTAATTTAATCCAGACAATTCTGAATACTCTCACAAACTTTTCAACTTCCACTGCCACATAAGAAGTAAATGAGGATTATTGGGGAACCTGACACAAGCCAAAATTTTGTCAGTCTCAGGTGGGATCTTTAAATCCATGTAAGTTGCAATGTGTATAGAGCAGTCTGTTTAATAGAAAAATCATATGGAAAAGGTGGCTATTTCACAGAACAGCACCACTTCAGAGAAGTACACTAAGGCCAGCCAGGCGCAGTGGCTCATGCCTGTAATCCCAGCACTTTGGGAGGCCAAGGCTGGTGGATAACCTGAGGTAAGAAGTTCGAGACCAGCTTGGCCAACATGGTGAAACCCCATCTCTACTAAAAATACAAAAAGTAGCCAAGTGGCGCAGGCCTGTAATACCAACTACTCAGCAGGCTAAGGCAGGAGAATCACTTGAACCTGGGTGGCAGAGGCCACAGTGAGCCAAGACTGTGCCACTGCACTCCAGCCTAGGTGAAAGAGTGAAACTCCAACTCACACACACACCAAAAAAAAGTACACTAAAACCAATAGACATACACAGAGACCCAACTTCATTAGTGATCAGGTATATGTAAATTAAGATGTTATTTTACATTCATTTGACGGTCAAAAATTTTAAAGCAGGGCTGGGCACAGTGGCTAACACTTGTAATCCTAGCACTTTGGAAGGATGAGGCAGGTGCATTAGTTGAGGTTGGGAGTTTGAGACC